GGATGGGTGCTCTTGTTAACATTTACAGAAGCCACGATCATGGTGAATCATTAGCAGTGCAAGAACAGCTCCAGAGATGCACAGTAAAGTTGCTCATGGACAAGAGCCATTATGAAAAGGATTAATTTTAAATGTCTGCCTAAATATTTGTGGGGTCTGATCATAAAGCTCAGAGTAAACATTGAAAAATCTGATCCCGCTGAAGTCAGCAGCACTTTTACAGGTAGTGCTGATTTGTGATTCCATTCATGGTGCTGCAGAGCACAGATGACATTCATTAACCAGCTGTATATATCAGCTCTGTTTTTATTTTCTGATGTCTTAAGGCTATAATAATAATCATAGCTAGCTTGCAAACACACTTCTACGTGAGCTTAGCAACATTTATGTGTATTCAAGAAGTCACTCATGTTTCTGTATTTCCAAATCCTGTGGCTTTTGTTTCTACCTCTGGGGCCTAATCCCACATCTACTAATAGTTAATTTACAAAGATTTAACTTTTATCATCGGTGTCGCTCTGATGGTGTTAGCCGAGTTAGCCAGTCACTCTCTCAAACATTGCCCAGCTTGTTTTTTCTGTTTTTCAAAAACCAGTTTCAGTTTATAAGCATCCTTGTTTTAGTGCTCATTTACATAAAATCTTAATAAAAGTAATACAGGCAAGTCATTTCTCACTGGTAAAAGCCAAGACTGTCTGCAGTGTGTTTGAAGAAAGTCATACAGGAAAGCTTTCCTTCAAATAATACTCCAGCCCTTTTCTAGAAGCTTATCCAAGGCATTTTCCAGGATTTAACATTACCATGTGACTCGGTGTGCATGTCCCAAAGATGCAGCCAAGGGCAAGAATACAAGGGGATGCAAGAGCTGCCACTCTTTTTAGTTGAGCACGTTTGTACAACTCTTCAGAAAATCAGTTAGCACTGGGCTACCTATAGGAGTAATAGCTATGTTGCTGCCTGTATATAAAACAAACTAAGCATTACATGAACAAAAGGACACCTGCTATAGGGAAATAAATGTCTTGGCAAGGGGGAAAAAAAGCTGTTCACTCTTAATCCTGTAAGCATTTCAGAGTGTGAAGGAAGGGGATGATGATCTGCTTATTAGACTTTTGATAACATCCAGCTGTTAGCCCAGTGCTAGCAGTGATTTTCTGAAGACTCGGCTCCCTGCCCCAGCACAGCAGCATCTGACCCTGTGGAATCAGAAGCTTGGAAATTATGAAGTGACAATATTGTTAAAAATACTACATATAAAAGTAGCAGTACAGGAGAAGGCAGATTAAGTCTCTGCAATAGTTTTACTTCTGACAGAAAGTTTTCTCTTGAGTTTCCAGGCTTAGTACATAAATGGCAGGAAGTTTGTTTTTCACTGGGAGCTCTCAAAGCACTCATAGGGTCATAAGGAAAAGCAGCAGAGTCACACTTCATTAGCAGTTCCAGTTCAGCACAAACCTGTTTCTTGTTCCAGCAGATGGGAATAGAGCAGCCCAGCACAGCTCACTGCTCCTGTCACTTGTGAACCAGGAGTGCTGGCGAGGCAAATAGCCTTATACAGTAGTGACCTGAGTTCACAGGACAAGGCAATCCTCATGAAAGCATCTGAGCTGTCTGGTTTGCAGCAGTGGCCACAGCAAGTGACACAAGGCTGCAGGGGACACTTGAGTACCAGTGGAAAGCTGCACTTCTCTGGTTCGCCACCACTCTTCCATTTATCTCTTGAGCATAGGATAGACGTAGCAGGAATTTGGAGCATGCATTTTTACCTGGTTAATTAAGCTGATCAAAAGTGTTTACCCTCTTCCGGGAGAAGATGTTAAAACGTAGTGGTTGGAGTAAAGGAGAGGAATCCAACTACAGCAGCTGGAGCAGTGGTCATTTTCTGCACAGAGTGACTATGCTCAGCTCATGCAAACAGAAGGAAGCAGGTCCAGCTGCATTTATTCAGCTAAATGCTGGGTGTTACAGGTGTTTGTTAGTGGACCTGACACAAGTTGGTCTGGGTTGCCTAGAAAGACACAGATGAGGATTTATTTATATGGCTTTTCTAAACAGGGTTGATCTGAAGATGTAGAACCTTGTATATGACTCCAAATTTCAGTGACATTTGAGTTAAGGAGTTAATTTCAGGAGGCATTACTTAGAGGCTTCAGCCTTTAAGTTCTGGCTTAGATGCAAAACCATATCCATCTTTTGAATCTAGCATTAAGTTTGGACTCTCTCTGATTCTTTCCAGTCCTCACATGATGTATTGACATCAAACTTAGTAATATAAGAGATTTTCCCCCTCAGAAAGTAGAAAACCATGCCACATCTACAGCATCTTTCAAAAACCCCACCCCATTAATACCTGACTTTTTCCATGTGGGAATTTGGAGGAGAAAGGCGGTTGTAGACCATGATTCCAGCGACTGTGCTCTGCTGGTATGAGTGAAACCTCTCATGTTTGCATGTTCATGTTTTCCAGTAACATCATAAACCAGGTGCTAGAGATACTACAGTAGAGGAAATACCAATAACTTGACACATGGTGTGTTTAACAATCCACCACTGAAATTACTAACACTTGAGTTTGAAATGGGAATGTATCACAGTAGAAAGGCCTGTGTTCCCCTTTCTTCTCTTCTGCTGGCTACCATTTTATTTCACACTGGTGTGAGATCCTGTACCATGAAGGTATTTCCTGGGGAAAGTAAATGAATATAAATGGGACAGAGGAATATTGCAAAAAATATCTGCAACATAACAGATATCTGGCTATAAGAGAACTGGTCTGATTTTTTTTGTGAGGAAAACAAATTCCTTAAATTTAATTTTTTAAAAATATTTATACACAATGGTCATTATATATACATATGAAAGTCTCTTCCTTGATGACAGGATAATCAAGTTCGTGTTTGGCAAAACCTGTGATTCCAGATTTCCTTTAACTGATAAACTAGTGATACTTCTGAAAAGGGCATCTCCCTTCTCTCCCTGCCTAAAGCTGCTTGTTCACTCTGGCTGGTTGGTGCAGAGCTCTGTGTACATGTGTGGCAAGAGAGCTGACAGACCAAATCCCAGCTTTTGATGGAGTAATTCCTTAGTTGAATGAATCCCTTGATCAATCCTGTGGCCAGAAAAACATCAGAGTCAACCCAAAGATGGGTGTGAGAGGGAGAGCCAGGCTGCACTGTTTTCACAAGGACAGATTTTGTTGACTAGCAGTGACTGCAGTCACAGCTTGAGGCTGACTTAGGGTTCTGCCTCTTCCAAACCTGAAACCTCTTCTCATCCTAGAGACAGCCTGAAGAGATGAAAGGCAAACACTGATACCCAAGGAAGTGGTGTCAACCCTGGGAAACACAATTTAGAAACTGCTTTAAATCTATTAAGATAATTTTAAGACCTATTAAGACATACCCCCTGGAAGACTGCATCCAGCTCTGGGACCATGCCTCAGTTTGAAAAAACAGGTGTCTGCTAAGGAAGGCAGGAGCTTCCCTTGAAATGGAAAATGTAAACCCCCTCTCTCCAAATTATTATAATTTTGAAATTAAGGGGCTCCCAGGCAAAGATATGGGAGTAGGAATAACAGTTCTTTACTAGTATGTATAAATAAAAAAAATCCTACAACTTAATAGGAAAATTAAAATAAAATGCAGTAGTACAGAGTCAGAGTGAAATAAAATGTCAGAGTACAGCCTGACACCCTGTTGGGCAGGGTGTTGGTAGCAGTCTGAATGGTGGCTGCAGCCCTCCCAGAGTGATAGATGTGGTTCTGTTGAAGCAGTGATCCTGTAGAAGGGTGTAATTTTCCTCTGAAGGTCCAGTGGTGATGCAAAACAGTCTGGTCTTCCTCTGGGAATCCAGTGGAAAAAGGCTGCCTGTGGTGTTCCAAGTCTCAGATTATATTCAGGTAGGAATGCTTGGCTCCTCCCCTGGGTGGAGCATCTCACAATAGGATGATGTAATTTAATCAGTCATGCAGTGAGACTCAATGGCCCATTAACAGAAGACATCCCCCTGGAGGGAGGATGGGTGGTGGAAGAGATAAGGAACACTGCCCCACCTGGTTTTAACAGATGGTAATAGAATAGATACTTTTGGTTACATCCTGCATTGCAACCTAAGACAGACCACAACACAAGAGGGATGTGGACCTGTTAGAGTGAGTCCAGAGAAAGCCATGAAAACACTCCTCAAAGGGATGGAGAATGTCTCCTATAAAGACAGGCTGAACCTTCCAGTTTCTAAAGGGGGCCTACCAGAGAGCTGGAGAAGGACTCTTCACAAGGGCATGGAGTGATAGGACAAGGAATAATGGCTTTAAAGTGGAAGAGGGCAGGTTTGGATCAGATACTGGGAAGAATTAAGAAGTGAGGGTGGTGAGACACTGGCACAGGTTTCCCAGAGAAGCTGTGGATGCCCCATCCCAGGAAGCTGCAGTTTATCTCAGTGTGGGCATGAAAATGTTGCTCTTCTCTGGTTAGAGGAAGATGCAGTGGACATGAATTAGAAAGAGCAATACAGAGTTCTGCTTTCAAGGGGAAGGCACATTTATGACCCCAAGTATACTAGGGAGAAAAACCTATTGCAGAAATAAAAATATAATTCAATTCTATTTAAATCACTAAATTTTAAAACATCATGTCATGGCTTTAACAATAACAATGTTAACAAGGATTTAGACCAGTTTTTGAAGAATTCAAGGCGGATAAAAAGTTTAGAAATGCCCAAGTGTCCTTTTTAGTGCTCTGTTTATCCATTCGGTCCAAAATGCAAAACTCATTCTGTTGAAACCCTTGAATCTCATAATTCAGAAAGCCAGACACTTCTTACTCCTCTGAGTAGGACCTAATCAGTTCTGTAAGCTGTTCATGTTTTTTTCTTTATAAATTACAAGCCAGACAGCAACAGCTACAGCTATTTTTCCTGGTGAAAACAACAAAAACATGATATAATTATTATAATAATATAATAATTATAATAATATATAAGATTATATAATTCCAGATTAACGTACCTGGTTTTAGAGGTACCAATGAATCTTTATTTGCTTCCCTCTAGAATTTCCTATGATCCCACGAGATACCCTAAATACATTCCCGAAGCCTACTGCCTGTGCAAAGGCTGCCTGATGGGGATCTTTGGCGAGGAGAGCTTGCACTTTCGCAGCACCCCGGTGTTCATGCCCACGGTCATCCTGCGCCGCACACCCGCCTGTGCCGGAGGCCGCTACGTCTACACCGAGGATTACATCACCATCCCTGTGGGCTGCACCTGCGTCCCTGAGCAGGAAAAGGAGGCAGAGAGCGTCAATTCCAGCATAGATAAGCAAGAAGTGAAGCTGCTGGTGGGCCAGAACAAGCCCTCATCAGAATGAAGAATGTACAAAAAGTCATGTTTCAGTACTGGCCTCACATCATCATCTCACCACCTCAGGAAACTGCACCAGAGCAGCAAACAGACTCACTTGCCCTCTTTTTCTGCTTACAGTTATTTCAGATAGAAGATGGAAAGCCCATTTGCTTATTCACAGTAAATTTTAGAAGATGATGCAACTGTAAGACATTGTAGCTATTACTGTAACAGGCTACTGGTTGTAGATATTTTTAAGGAATCTCTTATATTCTATTTTTAGGTACCCTTATACAAAATTCATGTTGCTGCTGTACATGGGACCAAATCAGCAGTTAAAAGGATAATTTCTCAGGCTGGGAGAGTCTCCCTTTATACTGCATAAACTCCAAGCTTTGCCTCTGAGCTGTTATCTCTTTGGCTAATTTATATACTACAGGAAGGAGATGTTTCCCAAGTTGGAGCCATTCATGAAGCCATGTTCTATGTGCTTGCCATTTTTAAACTTGCCAAATTGCTAAGGGTACAAAGGTGTTGAGAAAAAACTTGCTAGAATATTGTAAAAATGCAGCAGACCTTCTTGATGTGGACTAAGTCTAATTCTCAGAAAATGTAAGTTAGAAAAAACACAGTTTGGGTCTCAAGAATTCTGTGTTTGATTTCACCCATCACTGACCACTTAACTACTTTGTGATAAAACTGTGCTCCATGTGGCTGAAAGACCAAAACCCTTTTTGTTTTAGGAGAGGAGATTCCCCATTAAAAAGTAAGTACCAAGGATTGGCTTCAGCTCAGGTGCACTGCAGGCGAGCAAGGAGGCTAGGTCTTAACTTCCAGATCCTACAAGAGGTCATTGAGTTGAGTCCCAGCCAAGCCAAACTTGTTAAATCAAATTGATTTTTATAATTACTGTTACTCATTTCTCCTTATGCTGTATGTAATAGGCCACCACCTGCAAAAGCTGATGCTCTGTGGACGAGCAGCCTTCCATCTGTGCAGCCTACTGCTGATGGAACTTGATGGCAGGCCCTCACCAGAAACCCTGCATACACAAAAACTTGCATTTCCAGAACAAGAGACTGAAGTTGACTCAGCCTAGTGAATGAGAATCAGGAATGACCAAGCATGCCTTGCACAAACATAATTCCTCAGAGGGCACACTCTCCAAAATGGATAAACCTCTGAATGCATAGCAGAGAATCTCTTTTACAGCTGAAGGATCATGACTGCAATATTGTTACAGAACAAACATCATATGCAGCAATGTATCTGCTACATCAGGAATCTCGAAATTTGCCTTAATTCATAGCAGAGAAAGCCCCTACACTACACAAACACAGTCCTCTTTGGAGTGCTGTTGGAAGAAGAATGGAAAGACTATGAGCTAATCACAATTAACAAGTTGAAGACAGAATGAAAGTTATATGACAACTCCATGTCTTGTGCATAACTATTGACTGTGCTTTCTCTGACTCAGTCTAGTATAGCAGTATTTTTATAGTGCAATCTGTGAAACTTCTTACAAAGCCTAGAATAACTTTAGGAACTCCAGAAATTAATAAAGATTCCCATCATGACGTCAGATTGAAGTTTGTAGCTGTGTTTTTTGTGTGGATGCTTTTCCTCAATTCTCCATGTCTTCAGACCCGTGTTTCCTCAGACTGGGTGTTTCTAGCTCAACGGGATCCTCAAAGGTGAGTTCAAAGATGGTCATAAAATGTTTATACTACTCAGAGAACAGCTAATAGCCTGGCTGCTGCCAGCAATTATAGGTAGTTACCTTTTCCCCAGAGAATGTAAATACTTGCAGCAATTACTACTTCTTTCCTTCCTCCTAATGTGGAGGAACTTCTCACCCTCTGAGCAGAGAGCAATGGTAATCAGAGGGGCTCAAAAGGGAGGCTGACCCACAAAACTGGAGAAACACTGCACGAGGTGATGTTTCAGTTGTCTGATGCCTTCCAGTTTCACCATTACATTGTGAGGTTTTTCTCCACTTAAAGCACTTAAAGCAGTGTGAAGTTGAACCTTCAGTCTCCACGGCATAGAAAGCAAAGTCTTCACCCCAACAGGCAATAAAATGACCCCAAACAACAGCAAAATATCCAACCATGCAGCACTTAAAAAAAAAAATCTCATTTTTTATTGCAACTCTCCTGTCCTCCAGACATAAATCATGGAGTCATTTTGAGGTTTTCAAGTAACTAGAGCATGTTCAGGGAATTCCTGGGAGGTGCAAGCTAAAATCAGGTAAATGGAACAATCAGTTTGTCCAATCCAGAAAAGGAGATGTTTCAGATTATAGAAAGTTTCAGAAATCGGATGACTGAAAGTAGTTGAGAACTGCAAAACTTCCATTGGTCAATAGAGCGCTTGTGTTGGCGACCTCCTCATCACACTGCAACAAGTGCAGAAAGTTTCCTATGGTTCAGGCATCTTTATGTGATTTTGTTCAGAAGCACATTTTCCCTTCTTAATCCTCCTTTTCCTCTGTGACAGACTTTTTAGCTGAGCCAATCTGCTTCCTGATCCAGCTTTCCAGTTTGGTGTCTCTTAAAAGCTGATTATGTTTTAGCACAAGCAACTGTTTGATATTTTGGTAGTGAACAAGAGCTATTAGCTACACAAACACTTGCTGGCCTTCAAAATATCCTTCCATATATCCTTTCTCTCCACATTACTCATGTGGGAAAGGTTGAGTGTTAAATGTAGTTTGCATTTGTTTGGAATTGTTTGTTTTTTTAACAAGGTCATCACATCATGGATTTATATCAGTTTCACTTCAAATGTGGTGTGACATTTTCCAGCTTCCAGCCCTCTGGTTACAGCTGCTGAAGCCTTTAATTTGCATGGGGGAGGGAGTGTTCCTTGGAGTTGCTTCAAGGCTTCACAAACTGTTGACAGAAGGCAGACATGAAATGCCTCACTGAACCAACTCCAGGCCCAATAAATGCAAACAATTCAAAGCTAGAACTATCTGGCAGCTGCAGCTGATTTGAGAAATTTTTTTGTTGTGCCAGGAAAATCTTTTCCTTCAACAAGGTTGTCCCTGGAATACATTAGGACCCACAAAACACCGAACAATATCCTCAGTAAAGAGATTATTTTCTTGTCTGTATTATCACTTAAGGTAATTTGGAAAATTCCAATCATTCAGGAAGGCTGAGGAAAGCCTGAGATGCTAGTTTGGGTTTACTTGCCGGTCATCACCTGAAGGTGTCTGTCTGAATAGGTGAAGATCTACAGCTACAGGTAAACAGGGAATTGCATGGGGCAACATGAACATGAAAGCAGCAGGAAGAAAAGGAAAAAAAGCTGTGATGTGCTCAGAAAGTAAAAACACCCATTAATCTCACTGGGATTAGGGAACAGCCGTAACAACTGCCTGGACCAGGGTAGTTAAAGAGGCTGTAGCACATATGACTGTGCAGTCATAAATGCCACTGGAAAAGTAGCATGGTGCTGACACTTCACCAAAGCCTGTTCCATCAGAAAGTCCATCCTTCAGACACCCCCAGTAAAGTCAATCACTACTTGACACTGATATTTTTATTCACAATCCTGTTACAGAAGAAAAGGGGGTTTTGCTGTCACATACTATTTCTTAAAGTTACCACACTGGCACAAAATACAAATTCACTATGGATATTTGTGACTTGTACCCTTCTCAGAAACAGGAATCAAGTATGACAAAAATAGTTTACCTCCTATCACTGATGAAGGCTGTAAATGCCACTAGTCAAGCTCTGCTTGGGCAGCTGCCTGCACTCTCCAGGCTTTTAAGAGGGAAGCTGGTGGACAACAGGCTGCTGTGTTGAATGCATCTGCACAGATTTTCATGTACCCTTAATTCCATAACTATGCATCTTCACAGTGCCCCTTTTCAAAGTGGTCTGACCTACATGTGAGAAGCAGCAGTGATTTTCTTGGAATTGAACTTCTTGATACAACTGAATGGTGCACTTTTTAAGAAATACCTCTGATGAAGTTAGCCAAGTTGACTTTTAACTCTTGCTATGGGGAGCCCAATAACACATTTACCAAAATGAAGTGAGCCAAGCAGCAAAGCAGGTGAGGCTTCAATTTGAACATTCTAATTTAGGTGGGTGGCAGGAAACAGTATCATCCCTTCCAGCAATCATACCTGTCCCACTTGAAGTTTCTGTGTAGTTAAAAACAAAGTTTCACGAGTTACTTCATTGTCTCCATCTGTTTGGTATGAAGACACTGAGGTAATAAACCAGTTTAAAGTACAGCTTAGTGCCAGCAGCTATGCAATTACCATTGTGATTTCCTTTATTTTCAATCTGGCCACATAAAAGTGATGGTGTAGCCTCCTGGAAAACACCTAAACCCAGATGTATTTCACCTGTGGACAGTCATTTCCAGAGGAGCTCTGGCTCAGCAGCAAGGATGGCATCTGGTTTGAAAGGCAAGACTGTATGGGCCATGGGCTCACAGACCAGAAAGGAGAGGCCAGTGCCTGTTCTCCCTGCGAGCGCTTCCTCTGCTGCACTTCCCTCATTTTAACAACACCTGTGACCAGTCTGACAGAAACCAAGGCATGTCAAAGAAGAAGAAAACTGTTACCATGGAACACTACATGCAGCAAAGAAGCAGCAGGTATAAAATATGACGAGGGCAAAGCCTTGGGAAGCAAACAGATCTCTTGGAAAATAGGGAGGAGAGCTACAGTGGCTTGGGTGGATATTTATGATTCACAGTTGTGTCCAGCTCAGACAGCACCATTCTCTAAGTGCCTCTCTGAGGGAGGATTATAATCCATCTATATTATTTCTGGTCAGCTGTTTACTCCACTAGATGGGAAAATCTGCATTCAAACAGCAGAAAGATGAGTATTATCATTGCCTTATAAAAAGTCTCATATCACAAGCTTAATTAGGTTTATTCCCACCACAAAATAAATTTGGTACTTGATTTCATGTGATTCAGTTTGTAGATGCAGCATTTCGGTTAGCCTTTACACAGTGTGGCATACAAAGACAAGTGCTTGTGTTTTGTAGAGTGTTTTTAGAGATTATAAGTGTTGAGTGCCTTGAAATTTATGAACTTCAGCCAAAAGTACTTTAGTAGTATAGTTAAAAGGTTAGTCAAAACTGGCTTTAAAATTCTCAATTATCAAAAATCTCTACTTATGCAAAGTTTTTCCAGTATATCATCTATTTTGACTAACATATAATCCAAACCTTGAATATAAATCTAACACTTTTCTATTTGAAACAGTGGGAGTTTATCAATATGTTATTCCTCAGTGGCCTTGTAAGATTCAATGATTTTTAAGATGCTTCTATTCTACTGCTCTGCTGCTGTCTGTAGAACAGGAGAAAAAGATAAAACCAGACAACTGAAAAAAAACCATTCTTGTAACTATAAACTTGACATACCTGCAGATCCTCTTTAGTTTGATATTGAAATTATTAAAAAGCAGGCACTACACTTAATAAGAGCCATTGTGGTTCAAGATTTAAGGGACATGTATGGGCCACATTACTACAGAAGTATCAAACTCTTTGGCAATGATGATTCTGATGCCTGCAAGGCAAACACCTATGTGTTGCTATAAGCTAAAATCACTTCTAAGAGCTCACTGATGTGTCCTCAAATGGTAAAAGCTACCATTAAATGAAACTCTAACAGAGAAGTTCCCATTATCCAGCACCTGCATTGCTTGGTCTGCATTTACCTAATATGAAACACAGTAACTGCAAATGCTTACTCATTTAAAAGAGAGAGGCTATCACACTGTTGATTCCAGATATCCCAGAAAACAGTACTCAGAACTGGATATTTCAGCCCTGAGAAATGTGGTGTAACTGATAAAAAACAGAAAGAAGCTTGACTTGTTGTAGATCTGTAGATGATCTTAGGAGAATCAGTCCAGTCCAGAAGCATAGTTCACATAACATCGAAATTCATTGGCTAAATTTCGTGAGTGTTTTGGAATAAACTTGCACATCTTCACACCAAGATGCTTTGCTGCCTGTTCCTCCATGACTGCACCTGCAGCAAAAATAATTCGTATTGAAAAAGAAAGAGAGTTACAGAATATTTGAACTTTTTTAATAGCTCCTCCAAAATGCATACATAGAGAGGCTGGTTTTTTAAGGAAGGCAGGCTGAAAGCAGCTACACTCTCCCACTTCCTTAACAGCAGAATCTACTGGGAAACTTACAATAAATCTAGAAAAATGGAAGACATCCCAAGGAAATGAATGTCCAAGAAATTTCATAAAAATAAGTAGAGGGTATCAGTGTCCTTTTTACAGCAAGCAAACTTGAACTCAGTCTTCTTGCTACATTCCAAGGAAGTTAAATGGTAGGGCGCCATGGGAAATGCAAACAGATTACATCTACACTTTCACTTACATAAACCATGGTGTGATATTTGCAGCTACACTGAGAAATCACTGCTTTGAGCAGAAAACTGAAGGACCACCTATCCATTCTAGGGAAAAACTTCTGAGAACCACCCTTGTGTGCCACGTGCACTTAAACCAAGGAGCAGGCTTTCTGTGGCCACATTATTTTAATTTTTCTTTATTTTGTCTGCTCGGCTGCCTTCCCTCAAATTGTACATACAGAGGGGTTTTTGCTTTTTGGAAAGGTTTCCCAGATGTCTTCAGATAACAATACAGTAGTAACAATACAGTTTAAGAAAAGCCATTACTTGGGTAGACACACATCACTTCTCAAACCAGCAAGTGCATCTTCCACAAGTACAGATATCTGTTTATCTGGTTTCTGCTTTTATCACTGTTTTTTAATTCCTTCTGCTGTATTTCAGCATAAACTTACACATAAACAATAACTTGCACCTGTGTCTGCCATTTCCAGATTTCAATCACTGCAATTATAAAGTGGCCCTTCTACAAGAAAAATTATATTTCTGGAATTTTGCTGGATGACTTTATAGTTCTTCAAAAATTCAGTAAAATTCATAATGCCATAGGAAGAAAGTACTGGCTTGAACTATTAAAACCAACTTGCCTTCTGTTTAAAATAAAGGCTGAACTCAAGTACTCAAATAAAAAGTTTGGGATGCATATTCTTCCTTAAACTGATGATAATTCAGATTATTGAGTTAGTATTTGTCTCATGTAAGTTTGTCATTAGAAAGAGAGAAAAAGGTACTTAAGGGGACCTAATATTTTTATTGGTTATACCTGTACAAAGCAGAATCTTTCCTTTTGTTAGATATTTGATGGTCTCTGCAGTCTTTTGAAGACATTCCTCAGATAGATAGGGTGGATCAGCTATTACGATGTCAAAACTGTGTGGCAGGACATTTTCAGGTAAGTCCAAAGGGTGGTTGTAATCATAGAAAATAAATTCTTCTCCATACACAGAAAACCTTCTGTCATACTCCAGTATACACACAGAAAAATCTTCACTGTCCTGTTCTTTCAGTTTCTGGTACACACTCGGTGCACTGACACACGCTATCCTAAAAAAAACCACACAGTAACTTAAAATTGTAATTTTAAAAGACAAACAACAGCAATAAAACTCTACAGCAGTCCGCAGAGAGGCTTTGGGAAAACATCTTAAACATTAGTCCCAAAGTGGAAAGTACTCCTCCTCCATTCTAACAATTAATTACTTTAGTAACAAAGTCTTAAATATGGAAGTCAACCCTAGGCTAAATAAAGATCTTAAGCTTAACTACAGAGAAAGTCTTGTTTCAGAAAAGCAAGGAAGTACACTCAAAAAATGAAAAATTACTGTTTATAAAAGTAGGAAGAAAACCAAGTTTTTTCCATCTGTCCTACAGAAACATAATATAAAAACTAAGAAAGTAATTACAAGTCAATAATATGCTCTGAAGCACTTTGTATTTCTCAAAAAATTAAGAATATTCATAGTAAACTTTTACAAGGTACAGCCTACAACATTCAGTGACATAATAAACAGGCAGATCAGTATAAACTATTAACTAAATAATATCAAAGCAGCTCTGCAGTTATCTCAGTTGAACATAACTGAAGTATAATGAGTAATGAATTAAACTGCATGCTCTTGTCTATATAGCAGAAACAAAATATTTGCAGAAAAGACATGTTAAATCTACAACACAATTATTAGAACCTACCTGCCACCTTTTCCTGCTGCCAGAACTGCTTCCTTAGCCAGGCACGATGCAGTTTCATCACTGTACCAAAACTGGCTCAGTTGCTGAGAAAGATAATGCACAATTACAAACAACATCAAATCTTCTGGCTGTGCTATGCAGAGTTACGTGTGGCGAGTCATAACTGAAGAAAACCACAATCCATAGCAACTTTTCAGTTCACAAACTGTCAGCTGGAAAGGTGACTGTTATCCTGACAGTCTTTCTACCTTGTAACCTAGTTACAGATATACAGCAAATACCTTACACTCTTGTGTTTCCAAAGCGTGAAATGCAGTATCAGGAAAACCAAGTAATCCAAACCACTGACAAGGTATTTCAAACCCAGTGTGCAGATGCACATTATTTATGTGCTCTTAAATTGAGTTACTTCAGCAGACAAGGAAAAAGGACTTTGAAAAGTGACAGTATAGGAAGAAAGAAAAGGATAAAAAAAAGAACCTAAATCAGAATGGATCAGAAAAAAGAAGACCAAAAAAACCCAACGCAGAGAAAAATCAGAAATCAGTCTGTCACAAATAAAAACAACCAGTAAAACAGCCATCCTCAAAAATAAAGAAATAAAACACACACAAGAAAATGTGATATGAAAGATCACTTGGTCTTGTTACACTATGTTTGTCTCAGACTCAGGGCAGAGTCTTTACTACTATCCCAGGCTGGAGTTAAAATTTCCAGAAGGGATAGATGCTTCTGTTAGCAGCTTTATTCCCTCTCCATGTACTTTCAGTTTGTACCCCCCATGCACATGCAGAGCAAACAACTATACTCAGATTTAATACTAAAACAAATTTCCCTACAGTGTTGCCATCCATTAATAGGAATGTCTTGAGTGTTCCCCTCTTTAATTTCATTTTATTATCCAGCCACAAAAGAAACTCGGTCAGGGCTACTCCTCTGTGCTTGATTTACTGAAATTTATGGTTTCTTACCCAGTCTTCTTCTATTGAGCCAATGGAATATTGATTAAACCCTTGGGAGGTCTTCATGCCTTCTCTCTGCTGCTGCTCCAAATAGAACTCCTGGAGGGCAGCCAACGTATGGGATGAAAGCTGGGGGATGTCATCATCATCGTCCATTTTCTTAGATGTCAACAAGAAAAAAGAAATTAATTAAATAAACCCTTTTCAATGGTGAATGTTTTTTGTAACAGCATAATCTTGTGAAGTAAAACAACTTCCACCAAGAATGCAGCTAACTAGGAAAACCTCTAAACAAAAGAAAACTTATTCCCTTTGCTTAAGTGCTCTTAAATCAGCAAGAGGTCAATTGGAAATAACAAGTCTCCACAGAGAATTCAGGAAGAACAGCAACACTGTTCCCTTTCTATACAACATGGATTTGGCTTGTATTCTTACAGCAAAGTTGACATTATAATTCTTCATTTCCTTCACAGGAAAATCTGGAAAATCCTGTAGAAATAATTCCCTTCCTTCCTAGAAATAATGATAGCTATTGGTCATTCCTTTCCATGTTCAAAAGCCACACAATTTTAACTCCAAATGAAGTAAACCAGCATTCTAGCTCGGCATCACCTGGTTTTAACTTCCATGCCATAAAAAAATGATTCCTCTAAATGCCACAAATCTAAAAGGGAAAAAAAAAACCAAAACACAAAAACTAAAAAAAAACCCACAAAGCAGTCAGGAAGCTCCAAAGAGACACGGAAAGAACGGAAAAGTACAGCCATTTTCAGAAAGCTGCTGAAGTGGGTTCTGCCCGGAAGCATCCCTGAGCCCTTTGACCCCAGGCAGCGCAGCAGCCTCTCCCAGGGAACGGTGCCACCTCGTGGAAGAATTGCTTGAAAGGACTCAGCACGTGAAAAGCACTGGAGAAATCTGAGAAAGAGCCTTCGCTCAAGAAACCCATTTTCCCTGCATCTGGCCTAAGAACCACCACACGAGCAATGTCTTTAACTGAGCCTGGAGACAGGGACACACCTGCATTATGCAGAAGTCACCAAGAGCTATGGCCACCTGAATAGTGAGTAAACATTTTGAGTAATTTCAAGTGGAGCTGCCCATGGTTTTTCTTCTCATTCCCTGCATTACAAGGAGAGCTCCAGAACTGGCAGTCTCCTCCCCTTCAACCCTTCCTTCTGCTTTAGCAGAGCTTTCAAGATGAAGTCTCCTAAAACAGCTTCTTCCTTCTTGCTGGAAAAATGGTACCTTATCCTAGCACTGTGAGATAACATTGCCATTCCTCTGACACAGCACACACCTAAGGACATCTCTTATCTGGCTTTTCCAGAGTATCATTTATTGACTTGCTGGCTTCTCAGGCCAGGCTGGCCGAACAGGGAATTGTTCACAGCCAAAAGACCCACCTGAGACATTAGCCTCACACAAGAGAATTCCACAGTCTATCTACCTAGTAAAACCAAAATCATTATTCTTCCCATAGATTTTGTTGAATAGAACACAAATGCTTTAAGAATATTTACATTATTAAATTACAAATTATTTAAAGTATTTATTATAGAAATGACTGTATGTCCAGACAGATAACACAGTTTCTAGCCACAATGCTCTAACAATACACAGAACCATAACAATAACTCTAACAATACATAGACCCATTTTAGGTCCTAGCCAACAATTCATTTTTGGTAGAAATGGTAGAAATTTGCAATCACTCCTTAATACACAATTTTTTTTTTTATTAACTGAATGATACATACAGTAATTTGGTTTGCTATTACCCCTTAAGCAAAAACACATCTATGCTTTGACACTAAGAAACTGAAACAGCTGAAAGCTGAAACTGAACAGCAAAGTTTCTGCTTTTTAGTCAAAAGTTGAAATTTTTTGATTTTCTGTTCAGTGAGCCCCTACTGGCATGTGAAAGGACTAAATCCATGCCCATGAAACCACACCCGCACAGATAAATCTGCTGATGAAGAATTTGCCATTGTTTCAGGAGATAAAAAGGCATACTGCCATAGACATCTTTTATCTATTAATAATCTTTTTGTTGATTTTTTTCATAGCCTTCCTTTTGGTTTGTAAATTAAAGCCTTAGGAACCAAGAAGTAACTGTGATGTTTTGCAAGGAGAGGTAACTCAGAACATATGCTAAAAATATTACATACACCTATTACAAACGCCTCCAAAATTCAATATATTTTTCTGAATGCATATAGTGACTCAGGTTACTAGCATGAAGACATTCTCATGCTTAAGAACTACATCAGAAAACTCTTAAAGTGAGTTTATGTGTACAAGACTTGTAAATTTCTTCAAGGAAGACAGTTCTACTCTTTGAAATCCCTTTACTATCCCTTCCAGAAAGTTCACTGCTTTCAAGTCCAAAAGCAACCCTGAAAGTTCTGTAGGAGGATGAGAAGCACAGAAACCCACAGTGCCTCTGGCATGTGTAGAACAGGTGATGAGAAAACAGTAGGAAAGACTGCTAAAAGGCCATGGAATAGAAATACAACTGGAAAGCCATGCCATTCATCACTAGGAAGAGTGTTAGCCCTTTAGATCTTTTACCAAGAAAACAAAAAGCGTATGTGCAACTTCAGAAAAGATTTTATTCTAAGAGTAACCTTGAACAAAAGGCAGAGAGCACGAAATGGAGTTAAATCTAGTTCTCTGCGTTTTTTCCAATCTGCCCAAGTCAGTCTCTGAGATACGCAGCTCATCATCCACGGTGTTTGCAGCACACACCGAGAAAAGCTGGCCAGCGGTGTGCAACCGTAATGAAAATCACCTGGAAGGGGCTGCAACCACCTGTCTGGAGGTAGAGAAGTCCTGATCTCATAGACTGGAAAGATACTAAATGTCTGGCCTTGTGCCCTGACACCTCAAAAGCCGGGATTTCACAATGCGTCAAAGTGACACATGAAGTTCATAGAAGAGAAGTTTTCAGAGGATTACCAAATACACAGAAACTACACTGGATTAGCAAAGTAAAGTCAGCAGGCCTGGTGGCTACTTCAAGCAAAAAGAAAATAGGATGTGTCCCAGCTCCATTCCCATCCTTTTCAGTAAGCACTGAGGGCGCGCAGGCGGAGCTCGGGACGGCCGGTCCCCCTACACGTGGCTGACGGGACACACGGAGGGTTCCCGGAGAAGGCCCTTTCCTGCCGTCCCCTCCCGCGTGTATCGCTTTGAGGGCACCCTCCAGCCACACAGAACCCCGAGGAGGCAAGGGGTGACCCCGGCTAGCCCGTCCACACTTCGGCCGTCATCGCCCGCGGGGCGCAGCGGGGTCAGGCAGTGAGGGGTCGGTGACGGGTCGGTGACGGGTCGGTGAGGGGTCGGTGAGGGGTCTCCGCGCCGCCGCGGCCCCGCCGCCCCTGG